TATTCATGCCATAAAAATATTATAACGTCTCTCAATTTTATTCATGCCACAAAAACATTATATAAAGATTCTTCTCGGTCTCTCCAACCTATTTGCATCCTCACACAAGATCAACTTTAAAATAGGAGGAACCGAAACAAAACTATGAAAACTTAGAGAAAAGTAAAAGGCATAGTTGACTTAACTATCCGCAAGACAGTTAGCTTCCCTATAAATATGTGAAAAACAGATTGTCCAGTCCTTTGAAATAAAGCTATGGCACATGTGTACCAGAAAAGATAAGGGATGTGAGTCACTTATCCCATTTGTGAGGAAACCGACCACCATCTTTGAGTCTACTTCCACCTCCAGCCTTGCAGGTCGCTTTTCCCATGCTGTATATAGTCCATAACACTTCCATATTCAGTCTTGGTAGCTTGTCTCGAGCTAACAAAGCATAAGCTGATTTGATCGTAAATTTACCATCTGGAGTCTCTCCCCAAGACAGTCGGTCCCTCACCCCCGTGACATTGTCCAAAACTATAGCCAGGAGCTCCAGCCGTACCTCCTCAGAGACGTATGGAGCAATTTTTTCCATCACCCATCCGGGATCCGTCTCTCCACAGGTCTCTAACCTTTAATGTTAAGTCCTATACTGGTATCTCCCCTGCGACCTGCTCCAGCTGTGATTTCTGCAAAATCCACTTATCTGTCCAGAAACGCACAATTTGACAATCCCCCACAATCCAGTTGTGTCGCACAAAGGCCACATATCTCAAACCAATCACCACACTCCGTCAAGTCGAGGACCAGTTACTTTTCGAGATAGTCCAACTCCGATAATGAGCATTCTCCACTTTATACTTGCTCCTCATCACCCACGCCCATAAAGTATAATGATCATTTAAGAGTCACCATCCCACCTTCAAGATTAGGGCTATATTCATCATTTTTGCTTGTCGGATTCCTATACCCCCTTCTCCCTTTGGACGGCATACTCTAGGCCATGTAACTAAGTGTTTTTTTCTTTTTCTCAGTCGTGCTACCCCATAAGAACGATCGTGACACTTTGTCCAAACTTTCGAGCTTAGATTTCGGCAAGATTATGGTGCTCATAGAATGGACTAGGATGGATGATAGTACCGCCTTGGTAAGGGTCAACCTCCCCGCAAAACTCAAGACACTCTCTTTCCAGCTCGCTAGTCTTGAAGAAACACGCTTCAGCACTTCCCCAAATGTCTCCTTATTCATACGCTTCTGCACGATAGGCATTCCTAGATACTTCTCCAGATCTCTAGTTGATTTGATCCCACTCTCATCACTAATCAGCTTCCCCAAGACACATTACTCGAGAAGAAGATTTTGGTGATATATCACAGTTTTTACGGTTTTTAACCATGGTATAAGTCCTTTTTATTGAGTCTTTTTGGTCTTTTTAGGGTCCTAGTAGAGTCTTTGCAAGTTATAACATGACTGGAGCATAATTGGAGGTTTTGGAGAATTTTGGATCATTGCAAGGATCAACCATGAAGTTAGCAACTCAGAACCGTTCTCCTGCAATGGGTGACGATCGTCACCACTTATGGGTGACGCTCGTCACCCTAATTTGAAGAAAATCGCGACTTTTATTAATAGATGGAGAGGAAATTATAGTTTTTACCCAGAAGTTCCACTATTTACAAGAAGATCCCAGCTCGTGTTTTAGCTTGTATATTAGGTTTTCGGCCATTGTTGGCTTAGATCTGAGATTTTAGAATTCGGAGAGCTTTATAGAGAGATTTATTCAGAGATTTTGGGGAGACAAATCTTGTATTCTTTTTGAGAAGATTTCAAACCCCTTTAACTTTTACTCTATATATTTGAATACAATTTTATTCAGTTATGTTTTGTGTTTCCATGACCATGTCTGAGTAATCTGTTAGTTAAGTTAGGGCTTTTCAAAGGTTGATGAAGAGTTTGTAGAATCACTAAACTGTTAGGAATATCTTTTGGTTCTTCATCTGTGCTTGCATTAAAATCGATTTACTTGACTAGTCATCTGGAAATTCGAAATACCTTAGGTTGTTTAATAGATGTGAGAACATTGTTAATCACCTGAACTAGTATTAGATGAGCAAAACGTCTATTTACAAAGATATTTGACTTAGGAGTTTTGTGAACAATCGAAACCTGATCTTTAATGCTTGCTCAACTTGTTAGAATTTGCAAAGAGATTTGGAATTCTGTGAATTAGGCATAGATAACTTCTGCAATGAGAGTTGATTAGTTATATCATTGAGTGTTGAGTTTAAGACGGTTTTAATTCATTCCTGCTTGCATGCATTCCACATTCTCGGATTTAACCTGTGAATTCTCCTGACTTAACATTTTTAGTTTCGTGAATCTTAGATCAATCAATAAATCGATTGCTTTTATTAATTTTTCTATTTTACATTACATACACTACTGATTGCTTAGCTTAATCCGAACTTGAATTCTTTAGTGTAGTTTACTTACTCTCTTGGGATTCGATAACCTCTTATCCTATAACTGCATTGCTGTGCACTTGCAGTAGTTTTATTTGGATAAAACCTGAGCCCTATCAACTTCTCCAAACTTACTTTCTGACCTGAGGCTACCCAGAAACGCTCCAAGACACTTCTTATCAAACATATTTTCCGTACTGATGCTTTAGCAAACAAAATTAGGTCATCCGCAAAACAGATATGGGAGAGACAAACCGGCTTCCATCTCTTTTCTGCAATCGATGTCTCTATTAGGTGGCACAACCTCTCTATGCACAATACATAGAGGTACGGGGAGAGGGGGTCTCCTTGACGAAGCCCTCAAAGTGGGTTAAAGGACTCTTTTCTCTCCCCATTCCATAGCACATTCATCAATGGCCCAGAGACGCACTGAAGTATCCAATTCGTCCATGTTGTTGACAACCCCACAACTACCAATGTGTCCTCCAAAAAGTCCTATCTAATCCGGTCATAAGCTTTTTCCCAATCAGGATTTAATAACATCCACCCTTTACGTCATTTCTTACGTTTCATAGAGTGCACAGCCTCCTGCACGACCATAATATTGTATGTGCTTAATCTCCCTGGGATAAAGCTGGCTTAAGCTGGCCCTATTAGCTTTAATATCACTTGCTTCAGACGGTTCACCGTAGTCTTTGTAATAGTCTTGAATAAGACATTACACAAACTATTGGGTCTGAATTGGGTTTGTCCACTTTTGATATAAGGACCAGAAGCGCATCATTAGTGTCGTCTGGGAGAGCCCCTGTCTAAAAAAAAAACCCAACACAAAACGAGTCACTGGCTCCTTAACAATCTCCCAACAGTGTTGATAATACACCGGCTGAAAACTATCTGGCCTTGGTGCTTTAAACTTCCACATACTATCTTTTGATACAAAGTGTTAGTTTTTGTAAATATTTTGGGATGTCAGTATTTTATGTTCAAAACTTTTTGGGATGGGTTGAACCAGATCAAAATAATATTGACCCATTGCAAGGCAGATATAGTACAACAATTTAACCCAATTGACATATAAAAAAAATCCCAGTTTATGGGATAATTTTAAAATGATCTATTTAACAATTTTATTATGAAAAATGATATTTCTTAAAATGACCCATAAGAAAGGTCCATTAGTGTATTTCAATCTGTTGTAGTCTGCTAGTAATATGCATTTAGTCTGCTATTAATCTGCCAATAGTCTACTTTCAATCAATTTTCCAGTAATTTGTATTTAGTCTGCAAGTAAGGCTGTAATCTGCAGTCAGTCTGCTAGTGAAGCAGTAATCTACAGTCAGTCTACCACTAGTCTACAAGTAAAAGTAGTTAGAAGGGTAACTCTGATATTTATAAAAATTATAAAAAATGTTATTTTTACAATTTTTTGTGTAGAATATCCATTTCACATTATTTTCTCATTATGTGTTATTTTGAAGCATTTCTTCTATATTTTATATACCATTAACTTTGCAATATTTTATGTTAATATATTTGATATTACAATAATTCTTTTTTTGAACAGTGTTATAGTAATTCCTTTTGTTTAAAATTTATTATATACTATGATTTGATACTGTAAAGTGTTAGTTTATATAAATGTTATAGGATGGGTCAAGTATTTTATGTTCAAAAATGTTTTTTAGAATGGGTCAAAGCAGATAAGAAGAATTAAAACCCACGGCAGGGTATCTTAAACTTTATACAAATACTCTATGTATTCATAAAAAAATTAATGTAATGTTTTGACTTTTCATATTGTTTACATTAAAGTGGGGGTATTGGATCTGGAAATTCAATTGAATTTGAAAGAATTGAATTTTCCATTACAAACCTGTGTTATTCAATTATCTATTTTAACAATTCTTTTAAATATCTGTGTTATTGGATCAGGTGTTTTTATTAATTCTTTCAAATTCCTTTAAATATCAGTGTTATTCAATGTATTAATTTTCCAATTCTGTTAAACATCTGTGTTATTCAATATTTGATGAATTTAGCATTAAAATTATTTGAAAGGAATTTAATAGAAATTTTTTTATAAAAATGTAAAGAACCAAATCTGAGCTTTTAGGCTGAGAATTGAAGAGAATTTACTTGTATCGTTATTTTCGAGGAAAACAAACTCTGAGAACCACAATGCCCATAATTAATTTGATGAGTTTTTGAAAGTCAGATCTTACCAACAGCTCAGTGAAACCCAGATCCAGAACTTGTCTCAGAGCTGCTAACATTGTCATTACCTCCGCCAAAAGAGGGCATCTTGATCCTTGAATGTAGAGATTTAAGAGATGAATTCTAATATCCACCCAAAGCCTGCATCTTCAGTGTCTTCCCTCCATGCTGCATCGAAAGTGCATGTGACTGTATCCGTTTTTGTCAACACTTGAACATCTCCGGTTCTTGTCAACACTCTAACGGAGGTTCTGGATGAGGCATGAGAGGAAGACAAAGCAGACGACTCAGAAGACGAAAAGGTAAGACAATTTCGCTGTTTTTGTTCTGACTTCTGTGCAGATTGCAGTGACACTTGCTATTGTGCTAAGATTAGTGCTTGAAAACCTCTCTAGTTGAAGTAGAGAGACTTGCTTTGGCTCTTATATAGAGCATTTGTCTCTAGACCCTTAATTTTTCGCAGTTGAATTCATTACATTACGGAGGTATCAGAATGAAAACTAATCGTGACGGTTATACAATGCAATGTCTTTTAACAGAGGATGGCGTAGAGCCTCTGAACGAAGAAACCGACTTTCTGCACATACGGCCATCACCACCAAGCGACGAGGATCTTGATTTCGATTGGGGACAAGGTTGATGCCTTTTACAATGACGGCTGGTGGGTATGTAATGTCATAGAGAGTATCCATGATGGAAGAACTGGTATCTTTTTCAGACAATCAAGAGAAAAGATGCGGTTCGGACAGCAAGGTCTTCGTCTGCATAAAGACTGAATTAACGGGAACTGGGAGCCACCACTGAAAGGAGGAGCGATCCAGAGGGCCAAGGTTGTGTAAGATATCCATATTGATCAAACTGTAGAAAAATTCTCTTATCTTACTCTTCTTTATGTACGGTATATTCTTTCTTAGATAAATATGTGTGTTTAAAAGTTTTGATTTTGATCTGTAGAGATTTTTATGTGACCAGAACGTGAGACCTAAAATTGCAGTCGACAAGCAATATATCTCATCAGCATTGGAACACCAGTCGAGGTTAGCAGTCTTGAAGAAGGGTTCGAAGATTCTTGGTTTCTTGCAAAACTTATTGAGTACAGTCATGGTTAGTCCCTTCGAGAAGCTTGACAAAGTTAATGCTTTGTATAATGATGGGTGGTGGGTCGGGGTGGTTAAAAAGGTTCTTGCAAAGTAAAGCTACCTGGTTCATTTCACCAAAACTGATGAGGTGCTAAAGTTTCACTATTCTCAACATTGCAGTGACACTTGCTATTGTGCACATTGCAGTGTTTTTAATTTCTTTTAACATTGTATCTTCTGCAGAGATTACCCGATTGTCGAAGATTCTTTGATTTCAGCATTATCAGATGAAACAGCAAATCCAAGGGAGGAGTGTCCCAGCATTTATTCAGATCGGAGGTAAGCTCACTAGATCTCTTGACTAGCTTAGAGGCTTTGGAACTCTGCAACACATATGAACGGGGATTTTTTATGCAATTTGCAAGTCAACAATTGTTGACTGAAGCCTTGACTGAAGATGCTTTTGGACTCCGTAATTGTTGACATACTTTGCAAATTGGCATTGAAAAAACATATAAATTGTTGAATCCACTTATATGCATCGAGCGCATTCGTAGAACATAAAAAATAAATATAAAATAGATACTACTAATGAATTGTGACTATTTGTTGATTTCACTATCATATATAATTGCAATAAATGAAATTGCAATATTTACGTCAAATATCAATCATATATTTACAACCATATTTAGTTACAATATTTTTAAATTAGTCAAATTCTAGTCATTTATCTTAAATTTCAGAAAATTCCTACAAAATAGTACGAAGTTCAAAATGTAATTCATGATAAATCCTATTCAATATTATAAAATCTCCATGATAAATCTTACGGTTGGATCATCTCTCCTATATATATAGATCACTGCACCACATTTCTCAAAGCAAAAGAAAAAAAAGTTACCATCGAAAAAGGTATCGATTTTAGAAACGAGTAGCTTTTTGTTTTTCTTATCATTAGTTTTCTGTAGTTCTGTTGAAAACATTTCATATCTATTATTCCAGAAGAGCCTTTAGAGACACAAGAGCAAGATAGAAAAAATGCAAATATTTGGAGAAAAACTATGGCAGAAGATATATGGAGAGATACAACTGGTTTTGAAAATGCATAGATTAATGTTATGAATTTTAATAAAACTACTACAACTCATAAATTTTTGTAGTAGTTATTGTATTTTTCTTTCATTTTTTTCTTTATTTTATATTTTATGGTTAAAATAATGTTGATTAATTTTTTCAATGTACTAAAATAATTTAAAAGTTCATAAGTTCTTATAATTCCTTTGAATTCTTTTGAAATATAGCTATCAAATTCCTTTGCATTCTTTTAAATTCTAGAAAAAAAGTAACAACAAAATTTCTATCAAATGCATTAAAATTCCCGCCAGCTCAGTTAAAATACTATAAATTCTATTATTTACTTCTCCAATTGAATTCCATCAGATTCTATTAAATTCTTGAATCCAATACCACCCCCTAAGATTGATGTTTAAAATTTTTAAATGTAAATTTTGTTATTCCATATTAAAAAGCTATAAATTTCAAAAAATCAATTTTGTTAGATTTATCAGAAAACGTGAGATGATATATAGTTAAACAGAAGGCAGAATCTTTTTTATTTTTTTCCTAATTGCATATAGGTGATTTTCAACAACGATCGAATATCTTATTTTCAGGTGATCAGTTGTAAAACGTCAGATTCTCCAGTAGATTATAAATGAAAATTATAAAGAATCATTGATTTAAAAAAAAAGTTTCGAAGATAAATTACTACAGAAAATGAATCCCAAAATTCAGACAAGAAATTTTGTATAACTATATATATTTATATATATTATAAAAAAAACCTATTTGACAGAATTGTTGTCAGATAAAAAAAACTCAAGTCTCAAAGTCAACATTGTCAATTAGGTTTCCAAAAGTATCAATGTGTTTAGCTTACCCAAACTTTTGTAAAATTTATGATATGATTTGATATACAGTTACATAGAAAACAAAATCTTTGTTATATTTCTCCTTGATTTCATATAGGCAATTCTCAATGATGATCTAATATCTAATTTTCAGGTGATCAATTGAAAAATGTCATGTTCTCCAATAGATTGTAAATAAAAGTTGTGAAGAGTCATCCATTTCAAAAATAAAAATTCGAAAATAAATATGTATAAATTAAAGGCTAAAGTCTCAAAGTCAATAAGTTTAAATCCAAATTAATAATTCCCTAGACCATAATAACACAAAAAGATGAGAGCAGCTAGGGCACCCAACAATTTTTTGAGAGATTTTCAGATCTCGATCCTCTAGGGCCCTAAGCTAGATCGAGTCTCCCCTGAGTTACATCTCTGTGACCCAAGGAATCCCCATCACAAGGTAAGGTTATCGTATCTCGTCACTCGTGCTACTGGAATTAAGACGGAATAGAAGAGCTGGTTTTTTCTCCTAAATTTACTTCTAGCGTGTGTGCTACGTTGTCTACGTTTGTGGGTTGGATCAGGGTTTTACTGGTGTTGCAGATCGAGATCGAGGAAAGAGTCACGCCAGTGTCCGTTTGCATCTGCCTACAATTTCTTTTCCCCTTATCTAGGGTGGTTCTTTGCTTGATTTTCTCTTTTGCCGGTGTGGTATAAGGATCAACATGGTTTCGATAGCTGAAAATTCGAGAAGGAGTAGGGCGAAAAAATTGACGAGACACCGGTTAGAACAGGACAAGGAAGACGATATTATTGATATTCTGTACTTTGATTTCTCAGATCTGGTCGAACAATACAAGTGTACTTTAGTGGGACGTATGTTCCACTCGGAAGGCAGGAGCATTGACGCTCTTCTGAAACTGATGCCAAGCGCAAGAATCTGGAATGTAGAAGGAAGAGTTAAAGGAACGAACCTGAAGAATGGAAAGTTTCAGTTTGATTTCGATTCTGAAGACGGCTTAATCAAAGTTCTCAACCAACGCCATTTCAATAGATGGAGTTTCTCACTTGAAAGATGGTGTCCAACAGTAAGCGAAGATTTCCCAAATACTATGAGATTCTGGATCAAGGTTACGGGCCTTCCAATTCATTATAAGAAAGACCCAGTTTTCTGTTCGATTGAGGAAAGTGTAGTGGAGAAGAGGAGAAAACCCGCAACCATCCCTGTTGTAGAAGGAGGAAGGACAGTTCGGGTAAATGATAAGAGCCAAGAAAATAAGGAGGATGAAACAGAGTTCGAACAAAGACTAAACACCGTGAGATGGGAGAGTTAGCAGAGCTGGAGATGGATGATGAAATGATAGATAATGACGACCTGCTTCATGACGATATGGATGCTTTCCAAGACCAGGGTGAGAAGATTGATGCTCTCTCACAATTAACTCCTGAATATGATAAAGAGGACCACGAGATGGACGATATTCAGGCAACCTCTGTTCCAGAAACACAGGTAGAGATGGCCATGAAGCCACCAAGCTTGGAGAAAACAAAGAATTACCAACCTAAGGGAACAGGAGATATGGTTATAAGAGGGAGCCAAAAAGGTACGGCCCGACGACACTCCCCCAAGAAACAAGAGCTTGCTGGATCTCATGCATCAAAGAAGCTATCGACTATCAAGGGCAGAGCATCCCTGAAGAAAAAGAGTAACCTGACTGAGCGTTCGTCAGGTACAAAATCCAAACCATTCCCTCGTATTGAGGTGTATTTGTCTGCTCTTCCTAAGAGTATTCTGCTGTCTCAGATTTGGTGATGTTCCAGAAACCACCCAGTAAGAAGATATGAATACAATTACCTGGAATTGTCAAGGTGCAAGAGCTTATCTGACCAAACAACTTATCTGATCAAACAACACTTAAAGGAGCTGCACCGCTACTTCCGGCCCTATTTTCCTTTTCTTTCTGAAACTAAAAATTTCCTTTCTGTTATGCAAGAATTTCAAACTTCTTTTGGTTATGATCATTTATTTACCATAGAGCATGTCGTGCGAAGCGGAGGTTTAGCTTTGTACCCTATGGGTTATTTTTCTATTCGTATTTTATTTTCAAACTAGGTAATAACCCGCACCTTGTGCGGAGTAAAATAATAATTATTTATTTAATAGTATAATTTTAAAATCATATAACAAAATATAATTGATTTTATATGAGTTATTTATAACATTATGCTGTAATATAGACAAAATAATTTTTTTTTGTTTATTTTATGAAATATAGGATAATTTAATTAAAATGTAAATTAGTTTAAAAATTAAATATATATGCGCAATCTGGATAGAAATACGAAGTCGCTCTTTATATTTCTATAACCCATGATTGATAACATGATCTTAAAATTAAGAAAAAATAGAGGGAGTATATTCTGATTAAATGATTAAATATCTAATGCGTTATGATAATAATAAAACAAAATTACTACTTTCTCTGTTTCATGTAGATATATTTTTTTAAGGTTTTGTTTTGTTTCACAATATAATTATTTTCAATTTTTTTACTACTTCCTATGAATACTATGTGACCGATTATATTTTCAGTTTTTCATAATTAGTTGAATTATATTTAATTTATATACTAAATGATTACTTTTTTGAAGAAAAGTTACTTTTTAATCTTTGTGCTTTGATGCAAAACAACTTATATTTTGAAATAGAGAGTATTAAAATTATAAAAATAAAATTTGATTATAAGATTTTGTAATCGATTTTTATATTTCTTATATGAATGTAAATGCATATTTAGATTAACATGCAAAAAGCTATAGTCATAAAAATATTAACTTTTAATAAAAAAAAAACTATGAAATTTATTTTAAATACTAAATATATATAAGGATTATATAAAAATAGATTATATTTTTATGAGTTTTAATAATTATATAAAATTATATATAACTGAGTCAATACTTATACATTCTTAAATTTTTGATTCAATAAAATTATTTTTAATATCAAAAAGTTTAATAAAATTATTATATAATATCCTTACACAAATATTTTAAATTTTTTCCCAAGTTATTTTATTGTATAAATTAAAAATTTATGATACTTAACTTTTTAATCAAATAAAATATTTATAATATTATATTATATTAACATATTTAACTATTTTTAATTGTTCAACTTTTATTAATACTTTGTACTTATTATAAAGTTTAAATATTTATATTATTTGGTTAATTTATTTTGTACAATGCCGTCTGGACAGGTCAGTCGGAAATGAAGAACGGCATGCATTATTTTTCAACACAAATGTGGAGTATCTAAAGCTTTGGGGCTCTGATCATCGGTTGGTACTGACTAGAACACAATATCGGGAGATTCACATTCAGCGTAATTTCCGATTTGACAAAAGATGGCTAGACAAGGAAAGCTTTC